GAATGAACGAGCATACATGTATGAGAGAGAGAGAGAGAGAGAGAGAGAGAGAGAGAGAGAGAGAGAGAGAGAGAGACTACCATTCCATATACCCGCTCTTAGCGTATTTTTGGCGTATTTTTAGGCTCACAGTTTTGGCCCAACTTTCAGTTTCCTTTCGGCAAACCTCTTGGCTTATTAGCATGGCACAAGACCATACTTTCTATACAATTTTGGCCCGTTTTTGGATCTCCCTTGAGGCATATTACTTTCGACTTTCGGTCATCTGAATAAATGTTTCTGTAATGTATACACAAGTCGTTTGTTTTCTCTACAGTGTTTCTTCCTTACAGCTAATAATATATGGGCGACAGCAGCATCGCAATATTGGCCAAATCCCAAGATTTCCGAACATGAGACATAAATTCATATGGATATTGTTAAAAAGTGAATGCTGCCTCTATATTGCTGTGCTGCTGTGTCCCAATTTCATGATCTGCACTTAGCAGAAGATTTCTAAATAGGTGGGGTTACCTTAAGATCAGACACTTCTAAATGTTTATGTGGCGACAATTGTGACACGGGATATTCTCCGAGGACAGCTCTCTGATACTTTGTTATCTGGAATAAATTTTATATTCCAATATAATAGCTAATCGTTTCTAATGTAACAATAATTGTGGCTTCCTTTATAAAGGAGTGCGAATCGAGAATTGCCTTTCTTCTCTAAAACACAAGTGTCGCCACATGGGATATATTACGAGCACTTCACCCAACTAATAGCAGTAGTCGGACAAGGGATGGGAGTGATCTCCCTTCGCCTCAGTCAATATTGGATTCCACTCTTCTTATCACCTTACTGCTGGTCTTTTGGCCCGTGGTCTTCAGAAATTGCAGAGGGCATGCTTTTATACATAGGCAGGGGCCAGGCGCAAGTAGAAAGCCTATATTGACACCCACTTGTATGCAAGAGTAGATTAATATATATATATATATATATATATATATATATATATATATATATATATATATGACGTAATATTCGTATCTGGCATTCTACAAAAATACCTAAATGATACAAGGGGTCTGAATTCTACCCCTGTACGTCCACATCAAGGTTTTCAAAATGGGACGGTCAATAGGATTTCTCTGACTGTGAGTGTGTGGGTGGCTAGGATTTTTTCAGAAAAAAATATATTGTCTCCAAAGTTGATTGAAAACTAAATATGCTTCCATCTGTTGGACAAAAAGAACATTTTGGCCACCAAAAATACGTTGTTGCAAGGTGGGTTTTTGAAAAATGTTTTATTTAGGCTCATAGTTTATATTAACTGATTTTGCATTTGTAGCTGCAAAATATCTAGTCTCCATACAAAATCCAACGTCGCCCACTCCCCCTTCCAAAGGAACATGAAATGGTCGGCCCCTGAGGCCTAGTGTAGTAAAAACCAATATGCTTGTCATTTATCTTTCTCTCCTATTAGCTATTTTCTGTGGTCGTCGTGTTTCCAGATTAGAAATCAAACCAAATAAGAACTGTCGCTGCACACGTTGGAAAATACCAGTACCATTGAACTTTTATTTTATCCCTGTAGGCTTGGGAATAATTCCCAAATCCCACTTGGATTATCAGAGATGTGCATTCTTACTAGCCTGCTAGCCCGTGTCAGTTTGTCGAATGTAAAAGGTATTGTGAAGGCTAGTATAATAGAGGGTCGTTATATGGTATCGCTATTCGGCATAGCAAACGTTTAAGGTTAATGTCCATCTCATAGTGAACAAAATTCACCCTGTTTCGGGTAATGGAGGCACGAAAAACACCCAGTTTCACCTGCACAATTTTTTCAAACTCTGAACTGATGTAGGCAACGTTTCAGTTGTAAGATACAACTTAATACCGGTGTTCAGACGAAATAAACCCGGCAGTTTTCACCCTTGGCAATGCCATTAGGCTTTACCACGCCGGAAGCTGGCGATGAGCCTCGTTCTGACTCATCGAACTCCGTAACGTAGTTACCGTTGCCGTTATCGACGTCCCTTCTGTTTTCAACAGAAAAACGATCGCTTTTGCTCCGCTGACCTCTACGTTTCGCTCACTGCTGTATCATTCCAAGTGTGTCTTCTTCCAAGATGAATACAAGGCTTCACATTCAAGGTATTTAAGATCACAATTATTCCACTTAACAGTATTAAGATGTTAAATTAGACGTGAAATTGGTCGTTGTTAGGCAGCAGTATCGGGACTGAAGATGGCGGCCGCCATTTGCAATTGTCATAACTGAAAATGTTAGATTGTAAACTTGACATGTGGTTCTCAGATGAAACCTGTTCGTACATTATAGTGTCGGGCGATGTTGTACAGATGTAAGATAACCCGTATTCCGTGAAAGGCAGCTGTTTGGCCCATTTTATTGGTTAAATGTCGTCTTGCAGCACAGCCCGTAACCCTACATACACTTGGACTTCGAGGTGTCAAAGGGCCGAGGTCGAGTGGCATACGGTAGCTGTCAGAAGTCATGAATTGTGATTTTTTGAACGTAGCCGTCGGCGTACATTTAACTGAGGCTAGCTTTCGTTTTTCTTTTTCAGCTCAGGAGGACATAATTCGCTATTATGGCACTCCTGCGGCTGTGAGTTTGTGGCCGTCTCAGGATGAGGAGTCCGACTGTGTATGTAGTTTTACATGCCCACCCTATAAATTCTTCCGTCTAGTATAGCTGATTTGTTGCACATTAAGTCTGCCCAGTCCCTATAATAAAGTGTGATTCGTTTTCTTTGCAAAAGTATCCCGTATTTCTGTCTCACTTGACTTCCTTTGTCCCTCCCTCCACCCCTCGATGTGTAGCGTTCCCTGGCTGTGTCCCCTTCCCGTTGTCCCGACCCCCTGAGCGTTTTCACTCCGTTCTGGGCCCGCCCTGTCTACGGTGAGACGCTCCCCGCCCCCGTCACCATCAACCACGCCGCTTACTATCCTGCCCCAAGTGACGACGATGACAGTGACTACTGGGTGTACGAGGACGAGGACGACCACAGCTTTGTGGATGACAGAGAGATTCATCCCCTTAGAAAGGCGCTGACGAGAGCGGCTGCCTTCTTTAGGAAGATCTTCTCTTAGACTCCTTATCCTTTTAATGTCTGAATGTGTGCAAGTGAGTGAATGAATGAGCAGGTGTGTATGTATGTATGTATGTATGTATGTATGTATGTATGTATGTATGTATGTATGTATGTATGTATGTATGTATGTATGTGTGCGTTTGTGTGAGAGTAAATATAAGTTGAATGAACATGCATGTGTGTGTATGTATATGTGTGTGAGAAAGAGAGACTGAATGAATATGTATGTTTGTGTGTGTGTGTGTGTGTATTGTGTGCGTGTGTGAGAGTAAATGAAAGATTGAATCGGCATGTCTGTCTGTCTGTCTGTATGCATGTATGTGTGTGTATTTGTGTGTGAGTGTGAGAGAGTGAATGAGCATGTATGTATAATAATGTGTGTATGTATGTTTGTATGTGTGAGAGGGAGAGTGTATGTATGTTAGAGGTGAGGGTTAGAGTGAATGAACGAGCATACATGTATGAGAGAGAGAGAGAGAGAGAGAGAGAGAGAGAGAGAGAGAGAGAGAGAGAGAGAGAGAGAGAGAGAGACTACCATTCCATATACCCGCTCTTAGCGTATATTTGGCGTATTTTTAGGCTCACAGTTTTGGCCCAACTTTCAGCTTCCTTTCGGCAAACCTCTTGGCTTATTAGCATGGCACAAGACCATACTTTCTATACAATTTTGGCCCGTTTTTGGATCTCCCTTGAGGCATATTACTTTCGACTTTCGGTCATCTGAATAAATGTTTCTGTAATGTATACACAAGTCGTCTGTTTTCTCTACAGTGTTTCTTCCTTACAGCTAATAATATATGGGCGACAGCAGCATCGCAATATTGGCCAAATCCCAAGATTTCCGAACCTGAGACATAAATTCATATGGATATTGTTAAAAAGTGAATGCTGCCTCTATATTGCTGTGCTGCTGTGTCCCAATTTCATGATCTGCACTTAGCAGAAGATTTCTTAATAGGTGGGGTTACCTTAAGATCAGACACTTCTAAATGTTTATGTGGCGACAATTGTGACACGGGATATTCTCCGAGGACAGCTCTCTGATACTTTGTTATCTGGAATAAATTTTATATTCCAATATAATAGCTAATCGTTTCTAATGTAACAATAATTGTGGCTTCCTTTATAAAGGAGTGCGAATCGAGAATTGCCTTTCTTCTCTAAAACACAAGTGTCGCCACATGGGATATATTACGAGCACTTCACCCAACTAATAGCAGTAGTCGGACAAGGGATTGAGAGTGATCTCCCTTCGCCTCAGTCAATATTGGATTCCACTCGTCTCATCACCTCACTGCTGGTCTTTCGGCCCGTGGTCTTCAGAAATTGCAGAGGGCATGCTTTTATATATAGGCCGAGGCCAGGCGCAAGTAGAAAGCCTATATTGACACCCACTTGTATGCAAGAGTAGATTAATATATATATATATATATGACGTAATATTCGTATCTGGCATTCTACAAAAATACCTAAATGATACAAGGGGTCTGAATTCTACCCCTGTACGTCCACATCAAGGTTTTCAAAATGGGACGGTCAATAGGATTTCTCTGACTGTGAGTGTGTGGGTGGCTAGGATTTTTTCAGAAAAAAATATATTGTCTCCAAAGTTGATTGAAAACTAAATATGCTTCCATCTGTTGGACAAAAAGAACATGTCGGCCACCAAAAATACGTTGTTGCAAGGTGGGTTTTTGAAAAATGTTTTATTTAGGCTCATAGTTTATATTAACTGATTTTGCATTTGTAGCTGCAAAATATCTAGTCTCCATACAAAATCCAACGTCGCCCACTCCCCCTTCCAAAGGAACATGAAATGGTCGGCCCCTCAGGCCTAGTGTAGTAAAAACCAATATGCTTGTCATTTATCTTTCTCCCCTATTAGCTATTTTCTGTGGTCGTCGTGTTTCCAGATTAGAAATCAAACCAAATAAGAACTGTCGCTGCACACGTTGGAAAATACCAGTACCATTGAACTTTTATTTTATCCCTGTAGGCTTGGGAATAATTCCCAAATCCCACTTGGATTATCAGAGATGTGCATTCTTACTAGCCTGCTAGCCCGTGTCAGTTTGTCGAATGTAAAAGGTATTGTGAAGGCTAGTATAATAGAGGGTCGTTATATGGTATCGCTATTCGGCATAGCAAACGTTTAAGGTTAATGTCCATCTCATAGTGAACAAAATTCACCCTGTTTCGGGTAATGGAGGCACGAAAAACACCCAGTTTCACCTGCACAATTTTTTCAAACTCTGAACTGATGTAGGCAACGTTTCAGTTGTAAGATACAACTTAATACCGGTGTTCAGACGAAATAAACCCGGCAGTTTTCACCCTTGGCAATGCCATTAGGCTTTACCACGCCGGAAGCTGGCGATGAGCCTCGTTCTGACTCATCGAACTCCGTAACGTAGTTACCGTTGCCGTTATCGACGTCCCTTCTGTTTTCAACAGAAAAACGATCGCTTTTGCTCCGCTGACCTCTACGTTTCGCTCACTGCTGTATCATTCCAAGTGTGTCTTCTTCCAAGATGAATACAAGGCTTCACATTCAAGGTATTTAAGATCACAATTATTCCACTTAACAGTATTAACATGCTAAATTAGACGTGAAATTGGTCGTTGTTAGGCAGCAGTATCGGGACTGAAGATGGCGGCCGCCATTTGCAATTGTCATAACTGGAAATGTTAGATTGTAAACTTGACATGTGGTTCTCAGATGAAACCTGTTCGTACATTATAGTGTCGGGCGATGTTGTACAGATGTAAGATAACCCGTATTCCGTGAAAGGCAGCTGTTTGGCCCATTTTATTGGTTAAATGTTGTCTTGCAGTACAGCCCGTAACCCTACATACACTTGGACTTCGAGGTGTCAAAGGGCCGAGGTCGAGTGGCATACTGTAGCTGTCAGAAGTCATGAATTGTGATTTTTTGAACGTAGCCGTCGGCGTACATTTAACTGAGGCTAGCTTTCGTTTTTCTTTTTCAGCTCGGGAGGACATAATTCGCTATTATGGCACTCCTGCGGCTGTGAGTTTGTGGCCGTCTCAGGATGAGAAGTCCGACTGTGTATGTAGTTTTACATGCCCACCCTATAAATTCTTCCGTCTAGTATAGCTGATTTGTTGCACATTAAGTCTGCCCAGTCCCTATAATAAAGTGTGATTCGTTTTCTTTGCAAAAGTATCCCGTATTTCTGTCTCACTTGACTTCCTTTGTCCCTCCCTCCACCCCTCGATGTGTAGCGTTCCCTGGCTGTGTCCCCTTCCCGTTGTCCCGACCCCCTGAGCGTTTTCACTCCGTTCTGGGCCCGCCCTGTCTACGGTGAGACGCTCCCCGCCCCCGTCACCATCAACCACGCCGCTTACTATCCTGCCCCAAGTGACGACGATGACAGTGACTACTGGGTGTACGAGGACGAGGACGACCACAGCTTTGTGGATGACAGAGAGATTCATCCCCTTAGAAAGGCGCTGACGAGAGCGGCTGCCTTCTTTAGGAAGATCTTCTCTTAGACTCCTTATCCTTTTAATGTCTGAATGTGTGCAAGTGAGTGAATGAATGAGCAGGTGTGTATGTATGTATGTATGTATGTATGTATGTATGTATGTATGTATGTATGTGTGCGTTTGTGTGAGAGTAAATATAAGTTTGAATGAACATGCATGTGTGTGTATGTATATCTGGTGAGAAAGAGAGACTGAATGAATATGTATGTTTGTGTGTGTGTGTGTGTGTGTATTGTGTGCGTGTGTGAGAGTAAATGAAAGATTGAATCGGCATGTCTGTCTGTCTGTCTGTATGCATGTATGTGTGTGTATTTGTGTGTGAGTGTGAGAGAGTGAATGAGCATGTATGTATAATAATGTGTGTATGTATGTTTGTATGTGTGAGAGGGAGAGTGTATGTATGTTAGAGGTGAGGGTTAGAGTGAATGAACGAGCATACATGTATGAGAGAGAGAGAGAGAGAGAGAGAGAGAGAGAGAGAGAGAGAGAGAGAGAGAGAGAGAGAGAGAGAGAGAGTGAGAGACTACCATTCCATATACCCGCTCTTAGCGTATTTTTGGCGTATTTTTAGGCTCACAGTTTTGGCCCAACTTTCAGTTTCCTTTCGGCAAACCTCTTGGCTTATAAGCATGGCACAAGACCATACTTTCTATACAATTTTGGCCCGTTTTTGGATCTCCCTTGAGGCATATTACTTTCGACTTTCGGTCATCTGAATAAATGTTTCTGTAATGTATACACAAGTCGTCTGTTTTCTCTACAGTGTTTCTTCCTTACAGCTAATAATATATGGGCGACAGCAGCATCGCAATATTGGCCAAATCCCAAGATTTCCGAACATGAGACATAAATTCATATGGATATTGTTAAAAAAGTGAATGCTGCCTCTATATTGTTGTGCTGCTGTGTCCCAATTTCATGATCTGCACTTAGCAGAAGATTTCTAAATAGGTGGGGTTACCTTAAGATCAGACACTTCTAAATGTTTATGTGGCGACAATTGTGACACGGGATATTCTCCGAGGACAGCTCTCTGATACTTTGTTATCTGGAATAAATTTTATATTCCAATATAATAGCTAATCGTTTCTAATGTAACAATAATTGTGGCTTCCTTTTAAAGGAGTGCGAATCGAGAATTGCCTTTCTTCTCTAAAACACAAGTGTCGCCACATGGGATATATTACGAGCACTTCACCCAACTAATAGCAGTAGTCGGACAAGGGATTGAGAGTGATATCCCTTCGCCTCAGTCAATATTGGATTCCACTCGTCTCATCACCTCACTGCTGATCTTTTGGCCCGTGGTCTTAAGAAATTGCAGAGGGCATGCTTTTATACATAGGCCGAGGCCAGGCGCAAGTAGAAAGCCTATATTGACACCTACTCGTATGCAAGAGTAGATTAATATATATATATGACGTAATATTCGTATCTGGCATTTACTCTCACACAAACGCATACATACATACATTCAGGAAAAAATATATTGTCTCCAAAGTTGATTGAAAACTAATTATGCTTCCATCTGTTGGACAAAATGAACATGTCGGCCACCAAAAATACGTTGTTGCAAGGTGGACTTTTGAAAAAATGTTTTATTTAGGCTCATAGTTTATAACTGATTTTGCATTTGTAGCTGAAAAATATCTAGTCTCCATACAAAATCCAACGTCGCCCACTCCCCCTTCCAAAGGAACATGAAATGGTCGGCCCCTCAGGCCTAGTGTAGTATAAACCAATATGCTTGTCATTTATCTTTCTCTCCTATTAGCTATTTTCTGTGGTCGTCGTGTTTCCAGATTAGAAATCGAACCAAATAAGAACTGTCGCTGCACACGTTGGAAAATACCAGTACCATTGAACTTTTATTTTATCCCTGTAGGCTAGGGAATAATTCCCACATCCCACTTGGATTATCAGATATGTGCATTCTTACTAGCCTGCTAGCCCGTGTCAGTTTGTCGAATGTAAAAGGTATTGTGAAGGCTAGTATAATAGAGGGTCGTTATATGGTATCGCTATTCGGTCTAGCAAACGTTTAAGGTTAATGTCCATATCAAAGTGAACTGATGTAGGCAACGTTTCAGTTGTAAGATACAACTTAATACCGGTGTTCAGACGAAATAAACCCGACAGTTTTCACCCTTGGCAATGCCATTAGGCTTTACCACGCCGGAAGCTGGCGATGAGCCTCGTTCTGACTCATCGAACTCCGTAATGTAGTTACCGTTGCCGTTATCGACGTCCCTTCTGTTTTCAACAGAAAAACGATCGCTTTTGCTCCGCTGACCTCTACGTTTCGCTCACTGCTGTATCATTCCAAGTGTGTCTTCTTCCAAGATGAATACAAGGCTTCACATTCAAGGTATTTAAGATCACAATTATTCCACTTAACAGTATTAACATGCTAAATTAGACGTGAAATTGGTCGTTGTTAGGCAGCAGTATCGGGACTGAAGATGGCGGCCGCCATTTGCAATTGTCATAACTGAAAATGTTAGATTGTAAACTTGACATGTGGTTCTCAGATGAAACCTGTTCGTACATTATAGTGTCGGGCGATGTTGTACAGATGTAAGATAACCCGTATTCCGTGAAAGGCAGCTGTTTGGCCCATTTTATTGGTTAAATGTCGTCTTGCAGCACAGCCTGTAACCCTACATACACTTGGACTTCGAGGTGTCAAAGGGCCGAGGTCGAGTGGCATACTGTAGCTGTCAGAAGTCATGAATTGTGATTTTTTTAACGTAGCCGTCGGCGTACATTTAACTAAGGCTAGCTTTCGTTTTTCTTTTTCAGCTCAGGAGGACATAATTCGCTATTATGGCACTCCTGCGGCTGTGAGTTTGTGGCCGTCTCAGGATGAGAAGTCCGACTGTGTATGTAGTTTTACATGCCCACCCTATAAATTCTTCCGTCTAGTTTAGCTGATTTGTTGCACATTAAGTCTGCCCAGTCCCTATAATAAAGTGTGATTCGTTTTCTTTGCAAAAGTATCCCGTATTTCTGTCTCACTTGACTTCCTTTGTCCCTCCCTCCACCCCTCGATGTGTAGCGTTCCCTGGCTGTGTCCCCTTCCCGTTGTCCCGACCCCCTGAGCGTTTTCACTCCGTTCTGGGCCCGCCCTGTCTACGGTGAGACGCTCCCCGTCCCCGTCACCATCAACCACGCCGCTTACTATCCTGCCCCAAGTGACGACGATGACAGTGACTACTGGGTGTACGAGGACGAGGACGACCACAGCTTTGTGGATGACAGAGAGATTCATCCCCTTAGAAAGGCGCTGACGAGAGCGGCTGCCTTCTTTAGGAAGATCTTCTCTTAGACTCCTTATCCTTTTAATGTCTGAATGTGTGCAAGTGAGTGAATGAATGAGCAGGTGTGTATGTATGTATGTATGTATGTATGTATGTATGTATGTATGTATGTATGTATGTATGTATGTATGTATGTATGTATGTATGTATGTATGTATGTATGTATGTGTGCGTTTGTGTGAGAGTAAATATAAGTTTGAATGAACATGCATGTGTGTGTATGTATATGTGTGTGAGAAAGAGAGACTGAATGAATATGTATGTTTGTGTGTGTGTGTGTGTGTGTGTGTGTGTGTGTGTGTGTGTGTGTGTATTGTGTGCGTGTGTGTGAGAGCAAATGAAAGATTGAATTGGCATGTCTGTCTGTCTGTCTGTATGCATGTATGTGTGTGTATTTGTGTGTGAGTGTGAGAGAGTCAATGAGCATGTATGTATAATAATGTGTGTATGGGTGTTTGTATGTGTGAGAGGGAGAGTGTATGTATGTTAGAGGTGAGAGTTAGAGTGAATGAACGAGCATACATGTATGAGAGAGAGAGAGAGAGAAAGAGAGAGAGAGAGAGAGAGAGAGAGAGAGACTACCATTCCATATATATATATAGAGAGAGAGAGACTACCATTCCATATACCCACTCTTTGCGTATTTTTGGCGTATTTTTAGGCTCACAGTTTTGGCCCAACTTTCAGTTTCCTTTCGGCAAACCTATTGGCTTATTAGCATGGCACAAGACCATACTTTCTATACAATTTTGGCCCGTTTTTGGATCTCCCTTGAGGCATATTACTTTCGACTTTCGGTCATCTGAATAAATGTTTCTGTAATGTATACACAAGTCGTCTGTTTTCTCTACAGTGTTTCTTCCTTACAGCTAATAATATATGGGCGACAGCAGCATCGCAATATTGGCCAAATCCCAAGATTTCCGAACATGAGACATAAATTCATATGGATATTGTTAAAAAGTGAATGCTGCCTCTATATTGCTGTGCTGCTGTGTCCCAATTTCATAATCTGCACTTAGCAGAAGATTTCTAAATAGGTGGGGTTACCTTAAGATCAGACACTTCTAAATGTTTATGTGGCGACAATTGTGACACGGGATATTCTCCGAGGACAGCTCTCTGATACTTTGTTATCTGGAATAAATTTTATATTCCAATATAATAGCTAATCGTTTCTAATGTAACAATAATTGTGGCTTCCTTTATGAAGGAGTGCGAATCGAGAATTGCCTTTCTTCTCTAAAACACAAGTGTCGCCACATGGGATATATTACGAGCACTTCACCCAACTAATAGCAGTAGTCGGACAAGGGATTGAGAGTGATCTCCCTTCGCCTCAGTCAATATTGGATTCCACTCGTCTCATCACCTCACTGCTGATCTTTTGGCCCGTGGTCTTCAGAAATTGCAGAGGGCATGCTTTTATACATAGGCCGAGGCCAGGCGCAAGTAGAAAGCCTATATTGACACCCACTTGTATGCAAGAGTAGATTAATATATATATATATATGACGTAATATTCGTATCTTGCATTGTACAAAAATACCTAAATGATACAAGGGGTCTGAATTCTACCCCTGTACGTCCACATCAAGGTTTTCAAAATGGGACGGTCAATAGGATTTCTCTGACTGTGAGTGTGTGGGTGGCTAGGATTTTTTCAGAAAAAAATATATTGTCTCAAAAGTTGATTGAAAACTAAATATGCTTCCATCTGTTGGACAAAAAGAACATGTCCGCCACCAAAAATTCGTTGTTGCAAGGTGGGTTTTTGAAAAATGTTTTATTTAGGCTCATAGTTTATATTAACTGATTTTGCATTTGTAGCTGAAAAATATCTAGTCTCCATACAAAATCCAACGTCGCCCATTCCCCCTTCCAAAGGAACATGAAAGGGTCGGCCCCTCAGGCCTAGTGTAGTAAAAACCAATATGCTTGTCATTTATCTTTCTCTCCTTTTAGCTATTTTCTGTGGTCGTCGTGTTTCCAGATTAGAAATCAAACCAAATAAGAACTGTCGCTGCACACGTTGGAAAATACCAGTACCATTGAACTTTTATTTTATCCCTGTAGGCTTGGGAATAATTCCCACATCCCACTTGGATTATCAGAGATGTGCATTCTTACTAGCCTGCTAGCCCGTGTCAGTTTGTCGAATGTAAAAGGTATTGTGAAGGCTAGTATAATAGAGGGTCGTTATATGGTATCGCTATTCGGCCTAGCAAACGTTTAAGGTTAATGTCCATATCAAAGTGAACAAAGTTCACCCTGTTTCGGGTAATGGAGGCACGAAAAACACCCAGTTTCACCTGCACAATTTTTTCAAACTCTGAACTGATGTAGGCAACGTCTCAGTTGCAAGATACAACTTAATACCGGTGTTCAGACGAAATAAACCCGGCAGTTTTCACCCTTGGCAATGCCATAAGGCTTTACCACGCCGGAAGCTGGCGATGAGCCTCGTTCTGACTCATCGAACTCCGTAACGTAGTTACCGTTGCCGTTATCGACGTCCCTTCTGTTTTCAACAGAAAAACGATCGCTTTTGCTCCGCTGACCTCTACGTTTCGCTCACTGCTGTATCATTCCAAGTGTGTCTTCTTCCAAGATGAATACAAGGCTTCACATTCAAGGTATTTAAGATCACAATTATTCCACTTAACAGTATTAACATGCTAAATTAGACGTGAAATTGGTCGTTGTTAGGCAGCAGTATCGGGACTGAAGATGGCGGCCGCCATTTGCAATTGTCATAACTGAAAATGTTAGATTGTAAACTTGACATGTGGTTCTCAGATGAAACCTGTTCGTACATTATAGTGTCGGGCGATGTTGTACAGATGTAAGATAACCCGTATTCCGTGAAAGGCAGCTGTTTGGCCCATTTTATTGGTTAAATGTCGTCCTGCAGCACAGCCCGTAACCCTACATACACTTGGACTTCGAGGTGTCAAAGGGCCGAGGTCGAGTGGCATACTGTAGCTGTCAGAAGTCATGAATTGTGATTTTTTGAACGTAGCCGTCGGCGTACATTTAACTGAGGCTAGCTTTCGTTTTTCTTTTTCAGCTCGGGAGGACATAATTCGCTATTATGGCACTCCTGCGGCTGTGAGTTTGTGGCCGTCTCAGGATGAGGAGTCCGACTGTGTATGTAGTTTTACATGCCCACCCTATAAATTCTTCCGTCTAGTATAGCTGATTTGTTGCACATTAAGTCTGCCCAGTCCCTATAATGAAGTGTGATTCGTTTCTTTGCGAAAGTATCCCGTATTTCTGTCTCACTTGACTTCCTTTGTCCCTCCCTCCATCCCTCGATGTGTAGCGTTCCCTGGCTGTGTCCCCTTCCCGTTGTCCCGACCCCCTGAGCGTTTTCACTCCGTTCTGGGCCCGCCCTGTCTACGGTGAGACGCTCCCCGCCCCCGCCCCCGTCACCATCAACCACGCCGCTTACTATCCTGCCCCAAGTGACGACGATGACAGTGACTACTGGGTGTACGAGGACGAGGACGACCACAGCTTTGTGGATGACAGAGAGATTCATCCCCTTAGAAAGGCGCTGACGAGAGCGGCTGCCTTCTTTAGGAAGATCTTCTCTTAGACTCCTTATCCTTTTAATGTCTGAATGTGTGCAAGTGAGTGAATGAATGAGCAGGTGTGTATGTATGTATGTATGTATGTATGTATGTATGTATGTATGTATGTATGTATGTATGTATGTATGTATGTATGTATGTATGTATGTATGTATGTATGTATGTATGTATGTGTGCGTTTGTGTGAGAGTAAATATAAGTTTGAATGAACATGCATGTGTGTGTATGTATATGTGTGTGAGAAAGAGAGACTGAATGAATATGTATGTTTGTGTGTGTGTGTGTGTGTGTGTATTGTGTGCGTGTGTGAGAGTAAATGAAAGATTGAATCGGCATGTCTGTCTGTCTGTCTGTCTGTCTGTATGCATGTATGTGTGTGTATTTGTGTGTGAGTAAATATAAGTTTGAATGAACATGCATGTGTGTGTATGTATATGTGTGTGAGAAAGAGAGACTGAATGAATATGTATGTTTGTGTGTGTGTGTGTATGTGTATTGTGTGCGTGTGTGAGAGTAAATGAAAGATTGAATCGGCATGTCTGTCTGTCTGTCTGTATGCATGTATGTGTGTGTATTTGTGTGTGAGTGTGAGAGAGTGAATGAGCATGTGTGTATAATAATGTGTGTATGTATGTTTGTATGTGTGAGAGGGAGAGTGTATGTATGTTAGAGGTGAGGGTTAGAGTGAATGAACGAGCATACATGTATGAGAGAGAGAGAGAGAGAGAGAGAGAGAGAGAGAGAGAGAGAGAGAGAGAGAGACTACCATTCCATATACCCGCTCTTAGCGTATTTTTGGCGTATTTTTAGGCTCACAGTCTTGGCCCAACTTTCAGTTTCCTTTCGGCAAACCTCTTGGCTCATTAGCATGGCACAAGACCATACTTTCTATACAATTTTGCCAGTTTTTGGATCTCCCTTGAGGCATATTACTTTCGACTTTCGGTCATCTGAATAAATGTTTCTGTAATGTATACACAAGTCGTCTGTTTTCTCTACAGTGTTTCTTCCTTACAGCTAATAATATATGGGCGACAGCAGCATCGCAATATTGGTCAAATCCCAAGATTTCCGAACATGAGACATAAATTCATATGGATATTGTTAAAAAGTGAATGCTGCCTCTACATTGCTGTGCTGCTGTGTCCCAATTTCATGATCTGCACTTAGCAGAAGATTTCTAAATAGGTGGGGTTACCTTAAGATCAGACACTTCTAAATGTTTATGTGGCGACAATTGTGACACGGGATATTCTCCGAGGACAGCTCTCTGATATTTTGTTATCTGGAATAAACTTTATATTCCAATATAATAGCTAATCGTTTCTAATGTAACAATAATTGTGGCTTCCTTTATAAAGGAGTGCGAATCGAGAATTGCCTTTCTTCTCTAAAACACAAGTGTCGCCACATGGGATATATTACGAGCACTTCACCCAACTAATAGCAGTAGTCGGACAAGGGATTGAGAGTGATCTCCCTTCGCCTCAGTCAATATTGGATTCCACTCGTCTCATCACCTCACTGCTGGTCTTTTGGCCCGTGGTCTTCAGAAATTGCAGAGGGCATGCTTTTATACATAGGCCGAGGCCAGGCGCAAGTAGAAAGCCTATATTGACACCCACTTGTATGCAAGAGTAGATTAATATATATATATATATGACGTAATATTCGTATCTGGCATTCTACAAAAATACCTAAATGATACAAGGGGTCTGAATTCTACCCCTGTACGTCCACATCAAGGTTTTCAAAATGGGACGGTCAATAGGATTTCTCTGACTGTGAGTGTGTGGGTGGCTAGGATTTTTTCAGAAAAAAATATATTGTCTCCAAAGTTGATTGAAAACTAAATATGCTTCCATCTGTTGGACAAAAAGAACATGTCGGCCACCAAAAATACGTTGTTGCAAGGTGGGTTTTTGAAAAATGTTTTATTTAGGCTCATAGTTTATATTAACTGATTTTGCATTTGTAGCTGAAAAATATCTAGTCTCCATACAAAATCCAACGTCGCCCACTCCCCCTTCCAAAGGAACATGAAATGGTCGGCCCCTCAGGCCTAGTGTAGTAAAAACCAATATGCTTGTCATTTATCTTTCTCTCCTATTAGCTATTTTCTGTGGTCGTCGTGTTTCCAGATTAGAAATCAAACAAAATAAGAACTGTTGCTGCACACGTTGGAAAATACCAGTACCATTTAACTTTTATTTTATCCCTGTAGGCATGGGAATAATTCCCAAATCCCACTTGGATTATCAGAGATGTGCATTCTTACTAGCCTGCTAGCCCGTGTCAGTTTGTCGAATGTAAAAGGTATTGTGAAGGCTAGTATAATAGAGGGTCGTTATATGGTATCGCTATTCGGCCTAGCAAACGTTTAAGGTTAATGTCCATATCAAAGTGAACAAAGTTCACCCTGTTTCGGGTAATGGAGGCACGAAAAACACCCAGTTTCACCTGCACAATTTTTTCAAACTCTGAACTGATGTAGGCAACGTCTCAGTTGCAAGATACAACTTAATACCGGTGTTCAGACGAAATAAACCCGGCAGTTTTCACCCTTGGCAATGCCATAAGGCTTTACCACGCCGGAAGCTGGCGATGAGCCTCGTTCTGACTCATCGAACTCCGTAACGTAGTTACCGTTGCCGTTATCGACGTCCCTTCTGTTTTCAACAGAAAAACGATCGCTTTTGCTCCGCTGACCTCTACGTTTCGCTCACTGCTGTATCATTCCAAGTGTGTCTTCTTCCAAGATGAATACAAGGCTTCACATTCAAGGTATTTAAGATCACAATTATTCCACTTAACAGTATTAACATGCTAAATTAGACGTGAAATTGGTCGTTGTTAGGCAGCATTATCGGGACTGAAGATGGCGGCCGCCATTTGCAATTGTCATAACTGGAAATGTTAGATTGTAAACTTGACATGTGGTTCTCAGATGAAACCTGTTCGTACATTATAGTGTCGGGCGATGTTGTACAGATGTAAGATAACCCGTATTCCGTGAAAGGCAGCTGTTTGGCCAATTTTATTGGTTAAATGTCGTCTTGCAGTACAGCCCGTAACCCTACATACACTTGGACTTCGAGGTGTCAAAGGGCCGAGGTCGAGTGGCATACTGTAGCTGTCAGAAGTCATGAATTGTGATTTTTTGAACGTAGCCGTCGGCGTACATTTAACTGAGGCTAGCTTTCGTTTTTCTTTTTCAGCTCGGGAGGACATAATTCGCTATTATGGCACTCCTGCGGCTGTGAGTTTGTGGCCGTCTCAGGATGAGGAGTCCGACTGTGTATGTAGTTTTACATGCCCACCCTATAAATTCTTCCGTCTAGTATAGCTGATTTGTTGCACATTAAGTCTGCCCAGTCCCTATAATAAAGTGTGATTCGTTTTCTTTGCAAAAGTATCCCGTATTTCTGTCTCACTTGACTTCCTTTGTCCCTCCCTCCACCCCTCGATGTGTAGCGTTCCCTGGCTGTGTCCCCTTCCCGTTGTCCCGACCCCCTGAGCGTTTTCACTCCGTTCTGGGCCCGCCCTGTCTACGGTGAGACGCTCCCCGCCCCCGTCACCATCAACCACGCCGCTTACTATCCTGCCCCAAGTGACGACGATGACAGTGACTACTGGGTGTACGAGGACGAGGACGACCACAGCTTTGTGGATGACAGAGAGATTCATCCCCTTAGAAAGGCGCTGACGAGAGCGGCTGCCTTCTTTAGGAAGATCTTCTCTTAGACTCCTTATCCTTTTAATGTCTGAATGTGTGCAAGTGAGTGAATGAATGAGCAGGTGTGTATGTATGTATGTATGTATGTATGTATGTATGTATGTATGTATGTATGTATGTATGTATGTATGTATGTATGTATGTATGTATGTATGTATGTATGTATGTGTGCGTTTGTGTGAGAGTAAATATAAGTTTGAATGAACATGCATGTGTGTGTATGTATATGTGTGTGAGAAAGAGAGACTGAATGAATATGTATGTTTGTGTGTGTGTGTGTGTATTGTGTGCGTGTGTGAGAGTAAATGAAAGATTGAATCGGCATGTCTGTCTGTCTGTCTGTATGCATGTATGTGTGTGTATTTGTGTGTGAGTAAATATAAGTTTGAATGAACATGCATGTGTGTGTATGTATATGTATATGTGTGTGAGAAAGAGAGACTGAATGAATATGTATGTTTGTGTGTGTGTGTGTATTGTGTGCGTGTGTGAGAGTAAATGAAAGATTGAATCGGCATGTCTGTCTGTCTGTCTGTATGCATGTATGTGTGTGTATTTGTGTGTGAGTATGAGAGAGTGAATGAGCATGTATGTATAATAATGTGTGTATGTATGTTTGTATGTGTGAGAGGGAGAGTGTATGTATGTTAGAGGTGAGGGTTAGAGTGAATGAACGAGCATACATGTATGAGAGAGAGAGAGAGAGAGAGAGAGAGAGAGAGAGAGAGAGAGAGAGAGAGAGAGAGAGAGAGAGAGAGAGACTACCATTCCATATACCCGCTCTTAGCGTATTTTTGGCGTATTTTTAGGCTCACAGTCTTGGCCCAACTTTCAGTTTCCTTTCGGCAAACCTCTTGGCTTATTAGCATGGCACAAGACCATACTTTCTATACAATTTTGCCAGTTTTTGGATCTCCCTTGAGGCATATTACTTTCGACTTTCGGTCATCTGAATAAATGTTTCTGTAATGTATACACAAGTCGTCTGTTTTCTCTACAGTGTTTCTTCCTTACAGCTTATAATATATGGGCGACAGCAGCATCGCAATATTGGCCAAATCCCAAGATTTCCGAACATGAGACATAAATTCATATGGATATTGTTAAAAAGTGAATGCTGCCTCTATATTGCTGTGCTGCTGTGTCCCAATTTCATGATCTGCACTTAGCAGAAGATTTCTAAATAGGTGGGGTTACCTTAAGATCAGACACTTCTAAATGTTTATGTGGCGACAATTGTGACACGGGATATTCTCCGAGGACAGCTCTCTGATATTTTGTTATCTGGAATAAACTTTATATTCCAATATAATAGCTAATCGTTTCTAATGTAACAATAATTGTGGCTTCCTTTATAAAGGAGTGCGAATCGAGAATTGCCTTTCTTCTCTAAAACACAAGTGTCGCCACATGGGATATATTACGAGCACTTCACCCAACTAATAGCAGTAGTCGGACAAGGGATTGAGAGTGATCTCCCTTCGCCTCAGTCAATATTGGATTCCACTCGTCTCATCACCTCACTGCTGGTCTTTTGGCCCGTGGTCTTCAGAAATTGCAGAGGGCATGCTTTTATACATAGGCCGAGGCCAGGCGCAAGTAGAAAGCCTATATTGACACCCACTTGTATGCAAGAGTAGATTAATATATATATATGCCGTAATATTCGTATCTGGCATTCTACAAAAATACCTAAATGATACAAGGGGTCTGAATTCTACCCCTGTACGTCCACATCAAGGTTTTCAAAATGGGACGGTCAATAGGATTTCTCTGACTGTGAGTGTGTGGGTGGCTAGGATTTTTTCAGAAAAAAATATATTGTCTCCAAAGTTGATTGAAAACTAAATATGCTTCCATCTGTTGGACAAAAAGAACATGTCGGCCACCAAAAATACGTTGTTGCAAGGTGGGTTTTTGAAAAATGTTTTATTTAGGCTCATAGTTTATATTAACTGATTTTGCATTTGTAGCTGAAAAATATCTAGTCTCCATACAAAATCCAACGTCGCCCACTCCCCCTTCCAAAGGAACATGAAATGGTCGGCCCCTCAGGCCCAGTGTAGTAAAAACCAATATGCTTGTCATTTATCTTTCTCTCCTATTAGCTATTTTCTTTTGTCGTCGTGTTTCCAGATTAGAAATCAAACCAAATAAGAACTGTCGCTGCACACGTTGGAAAATACCAGTACCATTTAACTTTTATTTTATCCCTGTAGGCTTGGGAATAATTCCCAAATCCCACTTGGATTATCAGAGATGTGCATTCTTACTAGCCTGCTAGCCCGTGTCAGTTTGTCGAATGTAAAAGGTATTGTGAAGGCTAGTATAATAGAGGGTCGTTATATGGTATCGCTATTCGGCCTAGCAAACGTTTAAGGTTAATGTCCATATCAAAGTGAACAAAGTTCACCCTGTTTCGGGTAATGGAGGCACGAAAAACACCCAGTTTCACCTGCACAATTTTTTCAAACTCTGAACTGATGTAGGCAACGTCTCAGTTGCAAGATACAACTTAATACCGGTGTTCAGACGAAATAAACCCGGCAGTTTTCACCCTTGGCAATGCCATAAGGCTTTACCACGCCGGAAGCTGGCGATGAGCCTCGTTCTGACTCATCGAACTCCGTAACGTAGTTACCGTTGCCGTTATCGACGTCCCTTCTGTTTTCAACAGAAAAACGATCGCTTTTGCTCCGCTGACCTCTACGTTTCGCTCACTGCTGTATCATTCCAAGTGTGTCTTCTTCCAAGATGAATACAAGGCTTCACATTCAAGGTATTTAAGATCACAATTATTCCACTTAACAGTATTAACATGCTAAATTAGACGTGAAATTGGTCGTTGTTAGGCAGCATTATCGGGACTGAAGATGGCGGCCGCCATTTGCAATTGTCATAACTGGAAATGTTAGATTGTAAACTTGACATGTGGTTCTCAGATGAAACCTGTTCGTACATTATAGTGTCGGGCGATGTTGTACAGATGTAAGATAACCCGTATTCCGTGAAAGGCAGCTGTTTGGCCAATTTTATTGGTTAAATGTCGTCTTGCAGTACAGCCCGTAACCCTACATACACTTGGACTTCGAGGTGTCAAAGGGCCGAGGTCGAGTGGCATACTGTAGCTGTCAGAAGTCATGAATTGTGATTTTTTGAACGTAGCCGTCGGCGTACATTTAACTGAGGCTAGCTTTCGTTTTTCTTTTTCAGCTCGGGAGGACATAATTCGCTATTATGGCACTCCTGCGGCTGTGAGTTTGTGGCCGTCTCAGGATGAGGAGTCCGACTGTGTATGTAGTTTTACATGCCCACCCTATAAATTCTTCCGTCTAGTATAGCTGATTTGTTGCACATTAAGTCTGCCCAGTCCCTATAATAAAGTGTGATTCGTTTTCTTTGCAAAAGTATCCCGTATTTCTGTCTCACTTGACTTCCTTTGTCCCTCCCTCCACCCCTCGATGTGTAGCGTTCCCTGGCTGTGTCCCCTTCCCGTTGTCCCGACCCCCTGAGCGTTTTCACTCCGTTCTGGGCCCGCCCTGTCTACGGTGAGACGCTCCCCGCCCCCGTCACCATCAACCACGCCGCTTACTATCCTGCCCCAAGTGACGACGATGACAGTGACTACTGGGTGTACGAGGACGAGGACGACCACAGCTTTGTGGATGACAGAGAGATTCATCCCCTTAGAAAGGCGCTGACGAGAGCGGCTGCCTTCTTTAGGAAGATCTTCTCTTAGACTCCTTATCCTTTTAATGTCTGAATGTGTGCAAGTGAGTGAATGAATGAGCAGGTGTGTATGTATGTATGTATGTATGTATGTATGTATGTATGTATGTATGTATGTATGTATGTATGTATGTATGTATGTATGTATGTATGTATGTATGTATGTATGTGTGCGTTTGTGTGAGAGTAAATATAAGTTTGAATGAACATGCATGTGTGTGTATGTATATGTGTGTGAGAAAGAGAGACTGAATGAATATGTATGTTTGTGTGTGTGTGTGTGTATTGTGTGCGTGTGTGAGAGTAAATGAAAGATTGAATCGGCATGTCTGTCTGTCTGTCTGTATGCATGTATGTGTGTGTATTTGTGTGTGAGTAAATATAAGTTTGAATGAACATGCATGTGTGTGTATGTATATGTATATGTGTGTGAGAAAGAGAGACTGAATGAATATGTATGTTTGTGTGTGTGTGTGTATTGTGTGCGTGTGTGAGAGTAAATGAAAGATTGAATCGGCATGTCTGTCTGTCTGTCTGTATGCATGTATGTGTGTGTATTTGTGTGTGAGTATGAGAGAGTGAATGAGCATGTATGTATAATAATGTGTGTATGTATGTTTGTATGTGTGAGAGGGAGAGTGTATGTATGTTAGAGGTGAGGGTTAGAGTGAATGAACGAGCATACATGTATGAGAGAGAGAGAGAGAGAGAGAGAGAGAGAGAGAGAGAGAGAGAGAGAGAGAGAGAGAGAGAGAGAGAGAGACTACCATTCCATATACCCGCTCTTAGCGTATTTTTGGCGTATTTTTAGGCTCACAGTCTTGGCCCAACTTTCAGTTTCCTTTCGGCAAACCTCTTGGCTTATTAGCATGGCACAAGACCATACTTTCTATACAATTTTGCCAGTTTTTGGATCTCCCTTGAGGCATATTACTTTCGACTTTCGGTCATCTGAATAAATGTTTCTGTAATGTATACACAAGTCGTCTGTTTTCTCTACAGTGTTTCTTCCTTACAGCTTATAATATATGGGCGACAGCAGCATCGCAATATTGGCCAAATCCCAAGATTTCCGAACATGAGACATAAATTCATATGGATATTGTTAAAAAGTGAATGCTGCCTCTATATTGCTGTGCTGCTGTGTCCCAATTTCATGATCTGCACTTAGCAGAAGATTTCTAAATAGGTGGGGTTACCTTAAGATCAGACACTTCTAAATGTTTATGTGGCGACAATTGTGACACGGGATATTCTCCGAGGACAGCTCTCTGATATTTTGTTATCTGGAATAAACTTTATATTCCAATATAATAGCTAATCGTTTCTAATGTAACAATAATTGTGGCTTCCTTTATAAAGGAGTGCGAATCGAGAATTGCCTTTCTTCTCTAAAACACAAGTGTCGCCACATGGGATATATTACGAGCACTTCACCCAACTAATAGCAGTAGTCGGACAAGGGATTGAGAGTGATCTCCCTTCGCCTCAGTCAATATTGGATTCCACTCGTCTCATCACCTCACTGCTGGTCTTTTGGCCCGTGGTCTTCAGAAATTGCAGAGGGCATGCTTTTATACATAGGCCGAGGCCAGGCGCAAGTAGAAAGCCTATATTGACACCCACTTGTATGCAAGAGTAGATTAATATATATATATGCCGTAATATTCGTATCTGGCATTCTACAAAAATACCTAAATGATACAAGGGGTCTGAATTCTACCCCTGTACGTCCACATCAAGGTTTTCAAAATGGGACGGTCAATAGGATTTCTCTGACTGTGAGTGTGTGGGTGGCTAGGATTTTTTCAGAAAAAAATATATTGTCTCCAAAGTTGATTGAAAACTAAATATGCTTCCATCTGTTGGACAAAAAGAACATGTCGGCCACCAAAAATACGTTGTTGCAAGGTGGGTTTTTGAAAAATGTTTTATTTAGGCTCATAGTTTATATTAACTGATTTTGCATTTGTAGCTGAAAAATATCTAGTCTCCATACAAAATCCAACGTCGCCCACTCCCCCTTCCAAAGGAACATGAAATGGTCGGCCCCTCAGGCCCAGTGTAGTAAAAACCAATATGCTTGTCATTTATCTTTCTCTCCTATTAGCTATTTTCTTTTGTCGTCGTGTTTCCAGATTAGAAATCAAACCAAATAAGAACTGTCGCTGCACACGTTGGAAAATACCAGTACCATTTAACTTTTATTTTATCCCTGTAGGCTTGGGAATAATTCCCAAATCCCACTTGGATTATCAGAGATGTGCATTCTTACTAGCCTGCTAGCCCGTGTCAGTTTGTCGAATGTAAAAGGTATTGTGAAGGCTAGTATAATAGAGGGTCGTTATATGGTATCGCTATTCGGCCTAGCAAACGTTTAAGGTTAATGTCCATATCAAAGTGAACAAAATTCACCCTGTTTCAGGTAATGGAGGCACGAAAAACACCCAGTTTCACCTGCACAATTTTTTCAAACTCTGAACTGATGTAGGCAACGTTTCAGTTGTAAGATACAACTTAATACCGGTGTTCAGACGAAATAAACCCGGCAGTTTTCACCCTTGGCAATGTCATTAGGCTTTACCACGCCGGAAGCTGGCGATGAGCCTCGTTCTGACTCATCGAACTCCGTAACGTAGTTACCGTTGCCGTTATCGACGTCCCTTCTGTTTTCAACAGAAAAACGATCGCTTTTGCTCCGCAGACCTCTACGTTTCGCTCACTGCTGTATCATTCCAAGTGTGTCTTCTTCCAAGATGAATACAAGGCTTCACATTCAAGGTATTTAAGATCATAATTATTCCACTTAACAGTATTAACATGCTAAATTAGACGTGAAATTGGTCGTTGTTAGGCAGCAGTATCGGGACTGAAGATGGCGGCCGCCATTTGCAATTGTCATAACTGAAAATGTTAGATTGTAAACTTGACATGTGGTTCTCAGATGAAACCTGTTCGTACATTATAGTGTCGGGCGATGTTGTACAGATGTAAGATAACCCGTATTCCGTGAAAGGCAGCTGTTTGGCCCATTTTATTGGTTAAATGTCGTCTTGCAGTACAGCCCGTAACCCTACATACACTTGGACTTCGAGGTGTCAAAGGGCCGAGGTCGAGTGGCATACTGTAGCTGTCAGAAGTCATGAATTGTGATTTTTTGAACGTAGCCGTCGGCGTACATTTAACTGAGGCTAGCTTTCGTTTTTCTTTTTCAGCTCGGGAGGACATAATTCGCTATTATGGCACTCCTGCGGCTGTGAGTTTGTGGCCGTCTCAGGATGAGGAGTCCGACTGTGTATGTAGTTTTACATGCCCACCCTATAAATTCTTCCGTCTAGTATAGCTGATTTGTTGCACATTAAGTCTGCCCAGTCCCTATAATAAAGTGTGATTCGTTTTCTTTGCAAAAGTATCCCGTAATTCTGTCTCACTTGACTTCCTTTGTCCCTCCCTCCACCCCTCGATGTGTAGCGTTCCCTGGCTGTGTCCCCTTCCCGTTGTCCCGACCCCCTGAGCGTTTTCACTCCGTTCTGGGCCCGCCCTGTCTACGGTGAGACGCTCCCCGCCCCCGTCACCATCAACCACGCCGCTTACTATCCTGCCCCAAGTGACGACGATGACAGTGACTACTGGGTGTACGAGGACGAGGACGACCACAGCTTTGTGGATGGCAGAGAGATTCATCCCCTTAGAAAGGCGCTGACGAGAGCGGCTGCCTTCTTTAGGAAGATCTTCTCTTAGACTCCTTATCCTTTTAATGTCTGAATGTGTGCAAGTGAGTGAATGAATGAGCAGGTGTGTATGTATGTATGTATGTATGTATGTATGTATGTATGTATGTATGTATGTATGTATGTATGTATGTATGTATGTATGTATGTATGTGTGAGAGTAAATATAAGTTTGAATGAACATGCATGTGTGTGTATGTATATGTGTGTGAGAAAGAGAGACTGAATGAATATGTATGTTTGTGTGTGTGTGTGTGTGTGTGTGTATTGTGTGCGTGTGTGAGAGTAAATGAAAGATTGAATCGGCATGTCTGTCTGTCTGTCTGTATGCATGTATGTGTGTGTATTTGTGTGTGAGTGTGAGAGAGTGAATGAGCATGTATGTATAATAATGTGTGTATTGTTATAGAAGTCCAAAATAAACAGAAATTGTAATCAGAGTACATTTAGTAAACCTTGTCTATCGTAAGAGTCACCTATCTTCGTTATAACACGATCTATCTGCAAATGTCCATTCACAATTTTCATATTAAAGCAAATAATAAGATTATAGTATCATAGATAATTACCTGGAAATGAACTTCATCTATCTGAATCAACTTTGTGGGTCATGTTCACTGTTGATAGCTATGTTTATCTATCACTGAACGTTGGCGCGAGCAGCACTTGTCAGGCATGACCTGATTACCACTGTGTGTCACTACGCTATTTACATCCATGAATAATATATCTACTGTTATCATTATGCACTATTATTGTACAGGTTGATGCATTCCATGTTACCATGTTTGTTCACTGTTTGGATTCATGATGTATTTTGAGTGATAAGAACAGTGTTTGTCAGGGACTATTTCTTGTATACACTCTTGCATCGTGGCTATTTTTAGACAGTAAGTTGACATTTGATCTAGATAAACAATGACCTAATACACTGGTTATTGAAGATTTTCCAATAACTTTCTTGCTCTAAAATGTTTCAAAGTATATTTCACTTTGGATATTAATGATAATTACACTTGATCTCACTGAATAACTAATTTGATCTGTTTGACATTTCTGAGGTTACGGTGACCTGTCAATTATGTTTACGCTTGGCATAGTGACTGTTTATAACTTGGATGTCCGTTTTCACACCAAAGTCATAGATTCATGATAAAGTATTTTCCTGCAGTCTAATCTAGATTTGCAATATTCAGACACATAGAGGACAACATATACGTTCCCATATTCCTTGCATTTGTACCTGCAATATGACAGTCGTTCTGTGTTATGACATTTCATTGCCGACAGTTCTAGGCAATATTGACAATCTGTTGTCCGTTTCTCTGTTAATAATTGCCGAGTATTTTAATGAATCGTGTTACTGTCCAAATTATTAAAGGACATATAGGACTACATCAATACTTGGAATGAGGGCATATTTTCTCCTATAGGCCTATATTGTCAATGGTCTTAGCGTACGTTTGACGTCTGTCAAACTGTCCTCCCAGTCGCTTGGTCTGAACCTATCCTTGTCCTAAATATCATTGTATCAGATATTAGCACAAATTCTGTTTGTTCAACATGTTCGATCTATTCGGACACTTTGTACAGTATAAGGACAATACCAATTGATAAAAGAAACTGATTGTTTTGTAAATTTCACTTGTAACGGAGATTACCACCAACCAAGATGGCGGCCACTGACGCTACGTTGGCGTAAAGATATTGTCCATTTAATTATAACAAATTGTCTCCATGTCCTGATTATTTCTACTGTGTCCTAATTGTATTCGGTCAAATAGGACAAAACAAGGACATTTTGTAATCACTTACTTGTGTTGGAAATGACATTACCTATGCCATGCTTGTGATATGAAAGCCATCCAGCTTGTGTTCTGATTGGCTAAGAAAGGTCACATGACCTGTTAATGATGCCTATAAATACGATCACGGGTCAAGGTCTGACACACCTCCACTTATCATTCACTACCACTAGGTACACCTTTTGATACATTTTTAGGCCAAATTTAGAAGAAATCTCTTGACATTTTATTACTTATAATAACATTTTCTCAAAACAATTAAGCTAATATAACTTAATATTATTACTTCTTTGGAGACTGAGCCCTGTTAATAAAATCTAATAGACTTAATAGTAGCTGATCAAAACTGGGGGTATTTATTGGCATCATTTTTCATCACATTGTTAATAATTTGTGTCCACATTGTTGACATTTAAAACCAAAATTAAACATAAAGTTTGTAAACGCCATTACAAACTTGGACTGCTAAACTTCATCTTTGCTTGTGTTATTTGTGTTTTCACTAGCACCCTAAGGGTGTTACAGTATGTATGTTTGTATGTGTGAGAGGGAGAGTGTATGTATGTTAGAGGTGAGGGTTAGAGTGAATGAACGAGCATACATGTATGAGAGAGAGAGAGAGAGAGAGAGAGAGAGAAGAGAGAGAGAGAGAGAGAGAGAGAGAGAGAGAGAGAGAGAGAGAGAGAGAGAGAGAGAGAGAGAGACTACCATTCCATATACCCGCTCTTAGCGTATTTTGGGCGTATTTTTAGGCTCACAGTTTTGGCCCAACTTTCAGCTTCCTTTCGGCAAACCTCTTGGCTTATTAGCATGGCACAAGACCATACTTTCTATACAATTTTGGCCCGTTTTTGGATCTCCCTTGAGGCATATTACTTTCGACTTTCGGTCATCTGAATAAATGTTTCTGTAATGTATACACAAGTCGTCTGTTTTCTCTACAGTGTTTCTTCCTTACAGCTAATAATATATGGGCGACAGCAGCATCGCAATATTGGCCAAATCCCAAGATTTCCGAACATGAGACATAAATTCATATGGATATTGTTAAAAAGTGAATGCTGCCTCTATATTGCTGTGCTGCTGTGTCCCAATTTCATGATCTGCACTTAGCAGAAGATTTCTAAATAGGTGGGGTTACCTTAAGATCAGACACTTCTAAATGTTTATGTGGCGACAATTGTGACACGGGATATTCTCCGAGGACAGCTCTCTGATACTTTGTTATCTGGAATAAATTTTATATTCCAATATAATAGCTAATCGTTTCTAATGTAACAATAATTGTGGCTTCCTTTATAAAGGAGTGCGAATCGAGAATTGCCTTTCTTCTCTAAAACACAAGTGTCGCCACATGAGATATATTACGAGCACTTCACCCAACTAATAGCAGTAGTCGGACAAGGGATTGAGAGTGATCTCCCTTCGCCTCAGTCAATATTGGATTCCACTCGTCTCATCACCTCACTGCTGGTCTTTTGGCCCGTGGTCTTCAGAAATTGCAGAGGGCATGCTTTTATACATAGGCCGAGGCCAGGCGCAAGTAGAAAGCCTATATTGACACCCACTTGTATGCAAGAGTAGATTAATATATATATATATATGACGTAATATTCGTATCTGGCATTCTACAAAAATACCTAAATGATACAAGGGGTCTGAATTCTACCCCTGTACGTCCACATCAAGGTTTTCAAAATGGGACGGTCAATAGGATTTCTCTGACTGTGAGTGTGTGGGTGGCTAGGATTTTTTCAGAAAAAAATATATTGTCTCCAAAGTTGATTGAAAACTAAATATGCTTCCATCTGTTGGACAAAAAGAACATGTCGGCCACCAAAAATACGTTGTTGCAAGGTGGGTTTTTGAAAAATGTTTTATTTAGGCTCATAGTTTATATTAACTGATTTTGCATTTGTAGCTGAAAAATATCTAGTCTCCATACAAAATCCAACGTCGCCCACTCCCCCTTCCAAAGGAACATGAAATGGTCGGCCCCTCAGGCCTAGTGTAGTAAAAACCAATATGCTTGTCATTTATCTTTCTCTCCTATTAGCTATTTTCTGTGGTCGTCGTGTTTCCAGATTAGAAATCAAACCAAATAAGAACTGTCGCTGCACACGTTGGAAAATACCAGTACCATTGAACTTTTATTTTATCCCTGTAGGCTTGGGAATAATTCCCAAATCCCACTTGGATTATCAGAGATGTGCATTCTTACTAGCCTGCTAGCCCGTGTCAGTTTGTCGAATGTAAAAGGTATTGTGAAGGCTAGTATAATAGAGGGTCGTTATATGGTATCGCTATTCGGCATAGCAAACGTTTAAGGTTAATGTCCATCTCATAGTGAACAAAATTCACCCTGTTTCGGGTAATGGAGGCACGAAAAACACCCAGTTTCACCTGCACAATTTTTTCAAACTCTGAACTGATGTAGGCAACGTTTCAGTTGTAAGATACAACTTAATACCGGTGTTCAGACGAAATAAACCCGGCAGTTTTCACCCTTGGCAATGCCATTAGGCTTTACCACTCCGGAAGCTGGCGATGAGCCTCGTTCTGACTCATCGAACTCCGTAACGTAGTTACCGTTGCCGTTATCGACGTCCCTTCTGTTTTCAACAGAAAAACGATCGCTTTTGCTCCGCTGACCTCTACGTTTCGCTCACTGCTGTATCATTCCAAGTGTGTCTTCTTCCAAGATGAATACAAGGCTTCACATTCAAGGTATTTAAGATCACAATTATTCCACTTAACAGTATTAAGATGTTAAATTAGACGTGAAATTGGTCGTTGTTAGGCAGCATTATCGGGACTGAAGATGGCGGCCGCCATTTGCAATTGTCATAACTGAAAATGTTAGATTGTAAACTTGACATGTGGTTCTCAGATGAAACCTGTTCGTACATTATAGTGTCGGGCGATGTTGTACAGATGTAAGATAACCCGTATTCCGTGAAAGGCAGCTGTTTGGCCCATTTTATTGGTTAAATGTTGTCTTGCAGTACAGCCCGTAACCCTACATACACTTGGACTTCGAGGTGTCAAAGGGCCGAGGTCGAGTGGCATACTGTAGCTGTCAGAAGTCATGAATTGTGATTTTTTGAACGTAGCCGTCGGCGTACATTTAACTGAGGCTAGCTTTCGTTTTTCTTTTTCAGCTCGGGAGGACATAATTCGCTATTATGGCACTCCTGCGGCTGTGAGTTTGTGGCCGTCTCAGGATGAGGAAAAAGAAGTCCGACTGTGTATGTAGTTTTACATGCCCACCCTATAAATTCTTCCGTCTAGTATAGCTGATTTGTTGCACATTAAGTCTGCCCAGTCCCTATAATAAAGTGTGATTCGTTTTCTTTGCAAAAGTATCCCGTATTTCTGTCTCACTTGACTTCCTTTGTCCCTCCCTCCACCCCTCGATGTGTAGCGTTCCCTGGCTGTGTCCCCTTCCCGTTGTCCCGACCCCCTGAGCGTTTTCACTCCGTTCTGGGCCCGCCCTGTCTACGGTGAGACGCTCCCCGCCCCCGTCACCATCAACCACGCCGCTTACTATCCTGCCCCAAGTGACGACGATGACAGTGACTACTGGGTGTACGAGGACGAGGACGACCACAGCTTTGTGGATGACAGAGAGATTCATCCCCTTAGAAAGGCGCTGACGAGAGCGGCTGCCTTCTTTAGGAAGATCTTCTCTTAGACTCCTTATCCTTTTAATGTCTGAATGTGTGCAAGTGAGTGAATGAATGAGCAGGTGTGTATGTATGTATGTATGTATGTATGTATGTATGTATGTATGTATGTATGTATGTATGTATGTATGTATGTATGTATGTATGTATGTATGTATGTATGTATGTATGTATGTATGTATGTGTGCGTTTGTGTGAGAGTAAATATAAGTTTGAATGAACATGCATGTGTGTGTATGTATATGTGTGTGAGAAAGAGAGACTGAATGAATATGTATGTTTGTGTGTGTGTGTGTGTGTGTGTATTGTGTGCGTGTGTGAGAGTAAATGAAAGATTGAATCGGCATGTCTGTCTGTCTGTCTGTATGCATGTATGTGTGTGTATTTGTGTGTGAGTGTGAGAGAGTGAATGAGCATGTATGTATAATAATGTGTGTATGTATGTTTGTATGTGTGAGAGGGAGAGTGGATGCATGTTAGAGGTGAGGGTTAGAGTGAATGAACGAGCATACATGTATGAGAGAGAGAGAGAGAGAGAGAGAGAGAGAGAGAGAGAGAGAGAGAGAGAGAGACTACCATTCCATATACCCGCTCTTAGCGTATTTTTGGCGTATTTTTAGGCTCACAGTTTTGGCCCAACTTTCAGCTTCCTTTCGGCAAACCTCTTGGCTTATTAGCATGGCACAAGACCATACTTTCTATACAATTTTGGCCCTTTTTTGGATCTCCCTTGAGACATATTACTTTCGACTTTCGGTCATCTGAATAAATGTTTCTGTAATGTATACACAAGTCGTCTGTTTTCTCTACAGTGTTTCTTCCTTACAGCTAATAATATATGGGCGACAGCAGCATCGCAATATTGGCCAAATCCCAAGATTTCCGAACATGAGACATAAATTCATATGGATATTGTTAAAAAGTGATTGCTGCCTCTATATTGCTGTGCTGCTGTGTCCCAATTTCATGATCTGCACTTAGCAGAAGATTTCTAAATAGGTGGGGTTACCTTAAGATCAGACACTTCTAAATGTTTATGTGGCGACAATTGTGACACGGGATATTCTCCGAGGACAGCTCTCTGATACTTTGTTATCTGGAATAAATTTTATATTCCAATATAATAGCTAATCGTTTCTAATGTAACAATAATTGTGGCTTCCTTTATAAAGGAGTGCGAATCGAGAATTGCCTTTCTTCTCTAAAACACAAGTGTCGCCACATGGGATATATTACGAGCACTTCACCCAACTAATAGCAGTAGTCGGACAAGGGATTGAGAGTGATCTCCCTTCGCCTCAGTCAATATTGGATTCCACTCGTCTCATCACCTCACTGCTGGTGTTTTGGCCCGTGGTCTTCAGAAATTGCAGAGGGCATGCTTTTATACATAGGCCGAGGCCAGGCGCAAGTAGAAAGCCTATATTGACACCCACTTGTATGCAAGAGTAGATTAATATATATATATATATATGACGTAATATTCGTATCTGGCATTCTACAAAAATACCTAAATGATACAAGGGGTCTGAATTCTACCCCTGTACGTCCACATCAAGGTTTTCAAAATGGGACGGTCAATAGGATTTCTCTGACTGTGAGTGTGTGGGTGGCTAGGATTCTTTCAGAAAAAAATATATTGTCTCCAAAGTTGATTGAAAACTAAATATGCTTCCATCTGTTGGACAAAAAGAACATGTCGGCCACCAAAAATACGTTGTTGCAAGGTGGATTTTTGAAAAATGTTTTATTTAGGCTCATAGTTTATATTAACTGATTTTGCATTTGTAGCTGCAAAATATCTAGTCTCCATACAAAATCCAACGTCGCCCACTCCCCCTTCCAAAGGAACATGAAATGGTCGGCCCCTCAGGCCTAGTGTAGTAAAAACCAATATGCTTGTCATTTATCTTTCTCTCCTATTAGCTATTTTCTGTGGTCGTCGTGTTTCCAGATTAGAAATCAAACCAAATAAGAACTGTCGCTGCACACGTTGGAAAATACCAGTACCATTGAACTTTTATTTTATCCCTGTAGGCTTGGGAATAATTCCCAAATCCCACTTGGATTATCAGAGATGTGCATTCTTACTAGCCTGCTAGCCCGTGTCAGTTTGTCGAATGTAAAAGGTATTGTGAAGGCTAGTATAATAGAGGGTCGTTATATGGTATCGCTATTCGGCATAGCAAACGTTTAAGGTTAATGTCCATCTCATAGTGAACAAAATTCACCCTGTTTCGGGTAATGGAGGCACAAAAAACACCCAGTTTCACCTGCACAATTTTTTCAAACTCTGAACTGATGTAGGCAACGTTTCAGTTGTAAGATACAACTTAATACCGGTGTTCAGACGAAATAAACCCGGCAGTTTTCACCCTTGGCAATGCCATTAGGCTTTACCACGCCGGAAGCTGGCGATGAGCCTCGTTCTGACTCATCGAACTCCGTAACGTAGTTACCGTTGCCGTTATCGACGTCCCTTCTGTTTTCAACAGAAAAACGATCGCTTTTGCTCCGCTGACCTCTACGTTTCGCTCACTGCTGTATCATTCCAAGTGTGTCTTCTTCCAAGATGAATACAAGGCTTCACATTCAAGGTATTTAAGATCACAATTATTCCACTTAACAGTATTAAGATGTTAAATTAGACGTGAAATTGGTCGTTGTTAGGCAGCAGTATCGGGACTGAAGATGGCGGCCGCCATTTGCAATTGTCATAACTGAAAATGTTAGATTGTAAACTTGACATGTGGTTCTCAGATGAAACCTGTTCGTACATTATAGTGTCGGGCGATGTTGTACAGATGTAAGATAACCCGTATTCCGTGAAAGGCAGCTGTTTGGCCCATTTTATTGGTTAAATGTTGTCTTGCAGTACAGCCCGTAACCCTACATACACTTGGACTTCGAGGTGTCAAAGGGCCGAGGTCGAGTGGCATACTGTAGCTGTCAGAAGTCATGAATTGTGATTTTTTGAACGTAGCCGTCGGCGTACATTTAACTGAGGCTAGCTTTCGTTTTTCTTTTTCAGCTCGGGAGGACATAATTCGCTATTATGGCACTCCTGCGGCTGTGAGTTTGTGGCCGTCTCAGGATGAGGAGTCCGACTGTGTATGTAGTTTTACATGCCCACCCTATAAATTCTTCCGTCTAGTATAGCTGATTTGTTGCACATTAAGTCTGCCCAGTCCCTATAATAAAGTGTGATTCGTTTTCTTTGCAAAAGTATCCCGTATTTCTGTCTCACTTGACTTCCTTTGTCCCTCCCTCCACCCCTCGATGTGTAGCGTTCCCTGGCTGTGTCCCCTTCCCGTTGTCCCGACCCCCTGAGCGTTTTCACTCCGTTCTGGGCCCGCCCTGTCTACGGTGAGACGCTCCCCGCCCCCGTCACCATCAACCACGCCGCTTACTATCCTGCCCCAAGTGACGACGATGACAGTGACTACTGGGTGTACGAGGACGAGGACGACCACAGCTTTTTGGATGACAGAGAGATTCATCCCCTTAGAAAGGCGCTGACGAGAGCGGCTGCCTTCTTTAGGAAGATCTTCTCTTAGACTCCTTATCCTTTTAATGTCTGAATGTGTGCAAGTGAGTGAATGAATGAGCAGGTGTGTATGTATGTATGTATGTATGTATGTATGTATGTATGTATGTATGTATGTATGTATGTATGTATGTATGTATGTATGTATGTATGTATGTATGTATGTATGTATGTGTGAGAGTAAATATAAGTTTGAATGAACATGCATGTGTGTGTATGTATATGTGTGTGAGAAAGAGAGACTGAATGAATATGTATGTTTGTGTGTGTGTGTGTGTGTGTGTGTGTATTGTGTGCGTGTGTGAGAGTAAATGAAAGATTGAATCGGCATGTCTGTCTGTCTGTCTGTATGCATGTATGTGTGTGTATTTGTGTGTGAGTGTGAGAGAGTGAATGAGCATGTATGTATAATAATGTGTGTATGTATGTTTGTATGTGTGAGAGGGAGAGTGGATGCATGTTAGAGGTGAGGGTTAGAGTGAATGAACGAGCATACATGTATGAGAGAGAGAGAGAGAGAGAGAGAGAGAGAGAGAGAGAGAGAGAGAGAGAGAGAGAGAGAGAGAGAGAGAGAGAGAGAGAGAGACTACCATTCCATATACCCGCTCTTAGCGTATTTTTGGCGTATTTTTAGGCTCACAGTTTTGGCCCAACTTTCAGCTTCCTTTCGGCAAACCTCTTGGCTTATTAGCATGGCACAAGACCATACTTTCTATACAATTTTGGCCCGTTTTTGGATCTCCCTTGAGGCATATTACTTTCGACTTTCGGTCATCTGAATAAATGTTTCTGTAATGTATACACAAGTCGTCTGTTTTCTCTACAGTGTTTCTTTCTTACAGCTAATAATATATGGGCGACAGCAGCATCGCAATATTGGCCAAATCCCAAGATTTCCGAACATGAGACATAAATTCATATGGATATTGCTAAAAAGTGAATGCTGCCTCTATATTGCTGTGCTGCTGTGTCCCAATTTCATGATCTGCACTTAGCAGAAGATTTCTAAATAGGTGGGGTTACCTTAAGATCAGACACTTCTAAATGTTTATGTGGCGACAATTGTGACACGGGATATTCTCCGAGGACAGCTCTCTGATACTTTGTTATCTGGAATAAATTTTATATTCCAATATAATAGCTAATCGTTTCTAATGTAACAATAATTGTGGCTTCCTTTATAAAGGAGTGCGAATCGAGAATTGCTTTTCTTCTCTAAAACACAAGTGTCGCCACATGGGATATATTACGAGCACTTCACCCAACTAATAGCAGTAGTCGGACAAGGGATTGAGAGTGATCTCCCTTCGCCTCAGTCAATATTGGATTCCACTCGTCTCATCACCTCACTGCTGGTCTTTTGGCCCGTGGTCTTCAGAAATTGCAGAGGGCATGCTTTTATACATAGGCCGAGGCCAGGCGCAAGTAGAAAGCCTATATTGACACCCACTTGTATGCAAGAGTAGATTAATATATATATATATATATGACGTAATATTCGTATCTGGCATTCTACAAAAATACCTAAATGATACAAGGGGTCTGAATTCTACCCCTGTACGTCCACATCAAGGTTTTCAAAATGGGACGGTCAATAGGATTTCTCTGACTGTGAGTGTGTGGGTGGCTAGGATTTTTTCAGAAAAAAATATATTGTCTCCAAAGTTGATTGAAAACTAAATATGCTTCCATCTGTTGGACAAAAAGAACATGTCGGCCACCAAAAATACGTTGTTGCAAGGTGGGTTTTTGAAAAATGTTTTATTTAGGCTCATAGTTTATATTAACTGATTTTGCATTTGTAGCTGAAAAATATCTAGTCTCCATACAAAATCCAACGTCGCCCACTCCCCCTTCCAAAGGAACATGAAATGGTCGGCCCCTCAGGCCTAGTGTAGTAAAAACCAATATGCTTGTCATTTATCTTTCTCTCCTATTAGCTATTTTCTGTGGTCGTCGTGTTTCCAGATTAGAAATCAAACCAAATAAGAACTGTCGCTGCACACGTTGGAAAATACCAGTACCATTGAACTTTTATTTTATCCCTGTAGGCTTGGGAATAATTCCCAAATCCCACTTGGATTATCAGAGATGTGCATTCTTACTAGCCTGCTAGCCCGTGTCAGTTTGTCGAATGTAAAAGGTATTGTGAAGGCTAGTATAATAGAGGGTCGTTATATGGTATCGCTATTCGGCATAGCAAACGTTTAAGGTTAATGTCCATCTCATAGTGAACAAAATTCACCCTGTTTCGGGTAATGGAGGCACGAAAAACACCCAGTTTCACCTGCACAATTGTTTCAAACTCTGAACTGATGTAGGCAACGTTTCAGTTGTAAGATACAACTTAATACCGGTGTTCAGACGAAATAAACCCGGCAGTTTTCACCCTTGGCAATGTCATTAGGCTTTACCACGCCGGAAGCTGGCGATGAGCCTCGTTCTGACTCATCGAACTCCGTAACGTAGTTACCGTTGCCGTTATCGACGTCCCTTCTGTTTTCAACAGAAAAACGATCGCTTTTGCTCCGCTGACCTCTACGTTTCGCTCACTGCTGTATCATTCCAAGTGTGTCTTCTTCCAAGATGAATACAAGGCTTCACATTCAAGGTATTTAAGATCACAATTATTCCACTTAACAGTATTAAGATGTTAAATTAGACGTGAAATTGGTCGTTGTTAGGCAGCAGTATCGGGACTGAAGATGGCGGCCGCCATTTGCAATTGTCATAACTGAAAATGTTAGATTGTAAACTTGACATGTGGTTCTCAGATGAAACCTGTTCGTACATTATAGTGTCGGGCGATGTTGTACAGATGTAAGATAACCCGTATTCCGTGAAAGGCAGCTGTTTGGCCCATTTTATTGGTTAAATGTCGTCTTGCAGCACAGCCCGTAACCCTACATACACTTGGACTTCGAGGTGTCAAAGGGCCGAGGTCGAGTGGCATACTGTAGCTGTCAGAAGTCATGAATTGTGATTTTTTGAACGTAGCCGTCGGCGTACATTTAACTGAGGCTAGCTTTCGTTTTTCTTTTTCAGCTCGGGAGGACATAATTCGCTATTATGGCACTCCTGCGGCTGTGAGTTTGTGGCCGTCTCAGGATGAGGAGTCCGACTGTGTATGTAGTTTTACATGCCCACCCTATAAATTCTTCCGTCTAGTATAGCTGATTTGTTGCACATTAAGTCTGCCCAGTCCCTATAATAAAGTGTGATTCGTTTTCTTTGCAAAAGTATCCCGTATTTCTGTCTCACTTGACTTCCTTTGTCCCTCCCTCCACCCCTCGATGTGTAGCGTTCCCTGGCTGTGTCCCCTTCCCGTTGTCCCGACCCCCTGAGCGTTTTCACTCCGTTCTGGGCCCGCCCTGTCTACGGTGAGACGCTCCCCGCCCCCGTCACCATCAACCACGCCGCTTACTATCCTGCCCCAAGTGACGACGATGACAGTGACTACTGGGTGTACGAGGACGAGGACGACCACAGCTTTGTGGATGACAGAGAGATTCATCCCCTTAGAAAGGCGCTGACGAGAGCGGCTGCCTTCTTTAGGAAGATCTTCTCTTAGACTCCTTATCCTTTTAATATAATGTCTGAATGTGTGCAAGTGAGTGAATGAATGAGCAGGTGTGTATGTATGTATGTATGTATGTATGTATGTATGTATGTATGTATGTATGTATGTATGTATGTATGTATGTATGTATGTATGTATGTATGTATGTATGTATGTATGTGTGCGTTTGTGTGAGAGTAAATATAAGTTTGAATGAACATGCATGTGTGTGTATGTATAAGTGTGTGAGAAAGAGAGACTGAATGAATATGTATGTTTGTGTGTGTGTGTGTGTGTGTGTGTGTATTGTGTGCGTGTGTGAGAGTAAATGAAAGATTGAATCGGCATGTCTGTCTGTCTGTCTGTATGCATGTATGTGTGTGTATTTGTGTGTGAGTGTGAGAGAGTGAATGAGCATGTATGTATAATAATGTGTGTATGTATGTTTGTATGTGTGAGAGGGAGAGTGGATGTATGTTAGAGGTGAGGGTTAGAGTGAATGAACGAGCATACATGTATGAGAGAGAGAGAGAGAGAGAGAGAAGAGAGAGAGAGAGAGAGAGAGAGAGAGAGAGAGAGAGAGAGAGAGAGAGAGAGAGAGAGAGAGAGAGAGACTACCATTCCATATACCCGCTCTTAGCGTATTTTGGGCGTATTTTTAGGCTCACAGTTTTGGCCCAACTTTCAGCTTCCTTTCGGCAAACCTCTTGGCTTATTAGCATGGCACAAGACCATACTTTCTATACAATTTTGGCCCGTTTTTGGATCTCCCTTGAGGCATATTACTTTCGACTTTCGGTCATCTGAATAAATGTTTCTGTAATGTATACACAAGTCGTCTGTTTTCTCTACAGTGTTTCTTCCTTACAGCTAATAATATATGGGCGACAGCAGCATCGCAATATTGGCCAAATCCCAAGATTTCCGAACATGAGACATAAATTCATATGGATATTGTTAAAAAGTGAATGCTGCCTCTATATTGCTGTGCTGCTGTGTCCCAATTTCATGATCTGCACTTAGCAGAAGATTTCTAAATAGGTGGGGTTACCTTAAGATCAGACACTTCTAAATGTTTATGTGGCGACAATTGTGACACGGGATATTCTCCGAGGACAGCTCTCTGATACCTTGTTATCTGGAGTAAATTTTATATTCCAATATAATAGCTAATCGTTTCTAATGTAACAATAATTGTGGCTTCCTTTATAAAGGAGTGCGAATCGAGAATTGCCTTTCTTCTCTAAAACACAAGTGTCGCCACATGGGATATATTACGAGCACTTCACCCAACTAATAGCAGTAGTCGGACAAGGGATGAGAGTGATCTCCCTTCGCCTCAGTCAATATTGGATTCCACTCGTCTTATCACCTCACTGCTGGTCTTTTGGCCCGTGGTCTTCAGAAATTGCAGAGGGCATGCTTTTATACATAGGCCGAGGCCAGGCGCAAGTAGAAAGCCTATATTGACACCCACTTGTATGCAAGAGTAGATTAATATATATATATATATATATATATATGACGTAATATTCGTATCTGGCATTCTACAAAAATACCTAAATGATACAAGGGGTC